ACGCGGCGCTCACCCCGGCACTCGGCATCGGCCGCGGCCGTGCACTCCCGCACCAGCAGCTCGTTCTCCTCGCACGTGGTGCACGGCAGGCAGGGATCCACGAAGTTGGCCTCGCTGGAGAAGGTGCCCTCGGGACACTCCTCGCACACCGTGTCCTGCGAGTCCTTGCAGGGGAACATGAGGCCGAAGCCAACCTCGCACACGCGGCACTCGCGGCAGCTCCCGCTGGATTCGTCCTGGAAGTATCCGTAGGCGCAGCGGCAAACGGCGTCGTCCGACTCGACGCAGGGCGCGGACATGCTCTGCAGCCCCTCGCACCGCGTGCACGGCTTGCACGGCTCCGTGGCGCTCACCGTGTCCGAGAAGGTGACACCTGCGGGGCCGCGGGGGGCTCAGAGGATGGCTGGGATCAGCTCCCGGCTTCTGCTCCCGGCCTTTCCCTCTTGGGGTGTGCCCGGGGTCAGGGCTGGAGAGGGGTCCCCGCCTCTGCGGCCCCCCAGAGTCAGCTTCCCCCGTTCCCGCAGGAATTCCCAGCTCCGGGTTCTCATTCCCATTAACACCTGCACAATTCCCACAGTTCCCGGTTCCCAGCAGCTTCCAGGCTCTGCTGCCCATTCCCGCCTCAATTCCCAGCTCCGAGCACCCACCGGAGGTTCCTCTTCCCCTTAACACCTTCCCCATTCCCAGCAATTCCCAGCTCCGGTATCCCGGACTCTTCAGCCCCTTAAAACACCTTCCCCATTCCCAGCAATTCCCACTTCTGAGCATCCTTCCAGGCCCAGCTTCCCATTAACGCCTTCCCCATTCCCACCTCCTCATCCCATTCCCACCTTCCCCTCAATTCCCGGGGATCCAGCCTGGCTGAGCTGCCCCCAGCTCCTTAATTCCTTCCTTCACCCCCATTTCCGACCCCCCGGCGCTCCCTCTGCCCATTCCCGCTCCTCGCATCCCAACATTTTCTCCTCTCATCCCAACATTTTCTCCTCCCATCCCAACATTTTCTCCTCGCATCCCAACATTTTCTCCTCGCATCCCAACATTTTCTCCTCGCATCCCTCCCGGGGGTGCCGGGCTCGGGGCCAGCGGGAGGTGAAGCTTTGCTGACTCGGCCTGGCCCCGGCTCCGAGCGCTCCGGTTTCCTCCTGCAGGACGCGCTGCCGGGGAAATCGATGCCCGGGCCTCGCTCTGCCCGCTCCCGGAGGAGTTCGGGGATATTTTTAGCCCCGGAAGAGGGGTCAGAGCCCGTCCTGGAGGGCGCAGCTGCTGCCAGCTCCCAGCTGATCCCAGCGGAGCCCATCCCGGGGAAATTCCAGCCGGGGGGATGGAGAATCCCTGCGCTGGGAACGGCCATTCCCGCTCTCAGCAGCTTCCCTGGGGTCAGCGGGCTGCGGCCAGGACAATTCCTGCTCGGGACGGGAATTTTGGGCTGCTCCGGAGGGGAATGAAGCGCCCCAACCCCCCGGGAATGGCCGGGATGGGAGGAAATTCCAACCCGGATTTTCCCCACCCCTCTCCCGGGTGTCCCGCGCCTCTCCCGAGCCTTCCCCGGACCCGCAGAGGACGCGGAGCCACCAAAACCCCGGAACGCTTCGGCTCAGGAGGGACTTTAAACCCCTGGGAGCAGGGACAGCTCCTCCTGTCCTTGCTCGGACACTCCCGGGCCGGGCCGGGCCGGGCCGGGCCGGGCCGGGCAGGGCAGGGAGAGCAGCCCCGGGGGCGGCACACGCGGCTCCCATTAACCTGGGCTCATCCCTCGCATTATCCTGAATTATTGATGGGCCCCATTAGAGCGGGGAAGTGGCCAGGAAAGGCTTTCGGCTGAGTGGGCACATTTGCAGCGGCAGCCGAAGGGATGTGAGCTGAGCAATTACAGCCCCGCTCCAAACAGGGCCCCCCTGCCCCATCCGCCCTCCCCCGGCAGCGGCCGGGGCTGCGGGGATGAATAAATCATGAGGCGGCGCTCGGGGGGGCTGCGGAGGGGGAGAAAGGGGAAATCAGAGCAGCCCCCCCCTCTTGGGGTGGTCTCTGGACCCCCCCCCGGGGCTCTGGCAGGTGCCGGGCTTGGGTTTGGAGTGGGAATTTTGCAGTGGGAATTTTGCAGTGGGATTTTTTGGCAGTGGGGTTTCTTTAGTGGGGTTTCTTTAGTGGGATTTTTTGGGGCTGGATTTTTCCAGCGGGATTTTTCCAGCGGGATTTTTTGGGGCTGGATTTTTGCAGTGGGATTTTTTGGGGCTGGATTTTTGCAGTGGGATTTTTTGGGGCTGGATTTTTCCAGCGGGATTTTTCCAGCGGATTTTTGCAGCGGGATTTTTGCAGTGGGATTTTTGGGGGCTGGATTTTTGCAGCGGGATTTTTGCAGTGGGATTTTTTGCAGTGGGATTTTTTGGGGCTGGATTTTTCCAGCGGGATTTTTTGCAGAGGGATTTTTTTTTTTCCAAACCAATTCCCCCGGCGGATCGGGAGCTCGTCCAAGGGAGTGCCCGCAGGAGGCAGCCCGGGGTGCAGGTGGGAACCTCAGCCCTGGGCCGGGCCCGCATTCCTGGGGCTCAGTCTGGAGCCTGAGCCAGGAGCGGCGCTGCCTCTGCCTGCCCGGCCCGCGGCAGCGGGATCCGCAGGGATCCGCAGGGATCCGCAGGGATCCAGCGGGATCTGAAGGGATCCAGGGCCGCAGGGTCCTCTCCCCATCCCAGCAAGGGATGGCTGCTTGCAGGTCTCCCTCCCTCCCTCCACACCCCCCGTTCCCTCTCAGGGAGGAGCTGAGGGTGGGGAGGGGGATTTCCCTCGGTGGGATCCAGATTTTATGGGATCCGGTGCAGGGGGGATCCATCCCTCGCTGGGATCCATCCCTCGCTGGGATCCATCCCCAGGGATCCATCCCTCACTGGGATCCATCCCTCTCTGGGATCCATCCCTTGGGATCCATCCCTCTCTGGGATCCATCCCTCTCTGGGATCCATCCCTTGGGATCCATCCCTCTCTGGGATCCATCCCTCGCTGGGATCCCAGGCCCCAAAGTCCCGTTTGGGGGGAAGAATCTCCCATTTTGGGGAACAATCTCCATTTTTGGGGAACAATCTCCATTTTGGGGGAACAATCTCCATTTTGGGGGGAAGAATTCCGCATTTTGGGGAACAATCTCCATTTTTGAGGGAAGAATCTCCATTTTTGGGGAACAATCTCCAGTTTTGGGGAAGAATCTCCATTTTGGGGGAAGAATCTCCCATTTTGGGGGGAAGAATTCCGCATTTTGGGGGGAAGAATCTCCCATTTGGGGGAAGAATCTCCCATTTTGGGGGAACAATCTCCCATTTTGGGGAACAATCTCCCATTTTGGGGAACAATCTCCATTTTTGGGGAACAATCTCCATTTTTGGGGGAAGAATCTCCCATTTTGGGGGAAGAATCTCCCATTTTGGGGAACAATCTCCATTTTTGGGGGAAGAATCTCCATTTTGGGGAACAATCTCCCATTTTGGGGGAACAATCTCCCATTTTTGGGGGAACAATCTCCATTTTTGGGGGAAGAATCTCCCATTTTGGGGGAACAATCTCCATTTTTGGGGGAAGAATTCTGCATTTTGGGGAACAATCTCCATTTTTGGGGGAAGAACCTCCCATTTTGGGGGAAGAATCTCCCATTTTGGGGAACAATCTCCATTTTTGGGGGAACAATCTCCCATTTTTGGGGGAAGAATTCCGCATTTTGGGGGAACAATCTCCATTTTTGGGGGAAGAATTCCGCATTTTGGGGAACAATCTCCCATTTTGGGGGAAGAATCTCCATTTTTGGGGGAACAATCTCCCATTTCCATCCACCCTCTCCCCAGAACCCGGCCCAAACCCCTCCCGGCTCAGCACGGGGGTGACCCGGGGGGGCTGCGGCGCTTCCAGCGGGGTCCGAGGGGTGAGCCCGGGGTTTGTGGCGGTGTCCCCGGCCGGGTGGCAGCCCCGGGGGTGGCCGGTACTCACTGTCCAGGCAGGGCTCGCACACCGTCTGGTTGACCCCGCAGGGCTGCGCCACGCCCTCGCCCACGTTGCAGGCCCGGCAGCAATCCCCGCTGGCCGTGAAGAGCTTGGAGAAACACTCGTCCTCGGAGCCCCCGGCGGGTCCCTGCGGGCGAGCAGAGCCGGCCGGTCCCTGTGACACCCGGGGAAGGCTCCGGGGACAGCTGGACGCGGATTTGGGGCAGGGGGGAAGCAGAATTCGCTCGTTTCCAGGCAGAATTCGCTCCTCAGGAAAGGCCCTGCTGAGTTCTGCGGCTGGAGGGGG